GGCTGAGTCCCTGGCTGGGGAGGAGGTGGGGGGCTGAGCCCCTCCCTGGCTGGGGAGAAGGTGGGGGCCTGGGGAGGAGGTGGGGGGCTGAGCCCCTCCCTGGCTGGAGAGGGGTGGGGGCCTGGGGAGGAGGTGGGGGGCTGAGTCCCTCCCTGGCTGGGGAGGGGTAGGGGTGAGTCCCTCCCTTCCAGGCTGGGGAACTGAGAGGCGCACCCCCTCTGACTCCCGCCTCTGAGGCCCTCAGCTGCGGGTGAACAAGCAGAGCCTGACGATCCAGTTTGCGGGGGGCGGGGGAGCTTTTCCAGAGTTCTCCCCTCCTCTCCCTGGGGGCCGGGGGCTCCTCCAGGCAGCTCCAGAGTGGGCCTCCATCCCCAGGACCCAGGGTTTAGCAGACTCATTCTGGCTGGAGTGGAAAACGCCATTTTCCCTTCCGGGGCCAGGGTCTAACGTGGGTTTCCGGGAACCAACCGGCTGGGACAGGTGTAGGGGGGTTGTTGGTCCCTCGCCTCCAACACAGCCCTGGGGAGGGACGTGTCCCGGCCAGCCTCGGCCAGGATGGTGCGCGGGGGCCGGGCAGCTGAGTCTGGGCCTGTCCACCTCCGGCCACGCTGACCCACCTCCAGTCACGTTCCCTGGGCATGGGCAATGGGAGGGTGGACAGTGGGGTGGGCGGCCCAGGAAACCCTTTCCTGGGAAAATGTTGCAATACCACTTTCTTTGGGTTTGTGGCCAAAGAAGGAGAGGCCTTTTATTTTTTAATTTTTAATTAATTAGTTAATGTTTTTAGAGACGGAGTCTCGCTCTGTTGCCCAGGCTGGAGTGCAGTGGCACGATCTTGGCTCAGTGCAACCTCCACCTCCCGGGTTTAAGCAATTGTCGTGCCTCAGCCTCCTGAGTAGCTGGGATTACAGGCATCGCCACCACACCCGGCTAATTTTTGTATTTTTAGTAGAGGTGGGGTTTCACCATACTGGCCAGGCTGGTCTTGATCTCCTGACCTTGTGATCTGCCAGGCTCGGTCTCCCAAAGTGCTGGGATTACAGGCATGAGCCACTGCGCCCGGCCTAATTAATGTTTTTAGAGATGGAGTCTTGCTCTGTCGCCCGGGCTGGAGTGCAGTGGGTCGATCTCAGCTCACTGCAAGCTCCGCCTCCCAGGTTCTAGCAATTCTCCTGCCTCACCCTCCCAAGAAGCTGGGACTACAGGTGCCCGCCACCACGCCTGGCTAATTTTTTGTATTTTGGTAGAGACGGGTTTCACCATGTTGCCCAGACTGGTCTCGAACTCCTGAGCTCAGGCAATCCACCCACCTTGGCCTCCCAAAGTATTAGGATTACAGGCGTGAGCCACTGCACCCGGCCTTTTATTATTATTTTTAAGAGACAGGGTCCTGGTTGGTCGTGTGAGGCCAAGGCGGGTGGATCATTTGAGGTCAGGAGTTCGAGACCTCGTGGCCAACATGGTGAAAACCTGTTGCTACTAAAAGCACAAAAATTAGCCAGGCATGGTGGCGTGTGCCTGGTGCCTGTAATCCCAGCCACCTGGGAGGCTAAGTTGGGAGAATCACTTGAACCCAGGAGGCAGAGGTTGCAGTGAGCCAAGACTGCGCCACTGCACTCCAGCCTGGGTGACACAGAGACCCTGACTCAAAAAAAAAAAAGGGAGAGGCTGGACACCATGGCTCACACCTGTAATCCCAG